GCTTTCGCTCAAAAAGTTGATGCTGAATTCACCTTATTACTAAGAAAAGCTAAAAAATTTTTTGAACTTGGTCAGTAATAAAAAAGAAGGGTTAAAAAACCTAAGTTGCGAGAATGAGCTCTAAAATAATAAGTTTAAACGTTTTGATTCTCCACCTGGAAAGTATACCGTTGGATTAAGAAGGTAACAATTATTAAGATACTTGTTTAAACAAATGCTTCAAAATGTACATGAGGAAAGGCCTTGGAAGACGCCGCTCCTTATGCGTGCATATAAGCCTGTCAGTCTGCAAGAGCTCCAATGAAAAAAAGTGACTTTTTAAAGTTCTTCAAAATCTAGTACCAATGATTTTTTCAGATTTTGTTTACTGTTAGTATGATGTTCTTATTGTCCAACTGTTGTAGTAGGAGATCATTATATTCGCTCGTGGCACAAAAATGGTTTTTTAAGCTGTCAGGAGGTAAACCTGTTCTATGCTCGACAGAGGCCTGTTGAAGAGTTTATTAATCATCCTTTATTAGTAGCTATCCTTCTTGACTTCTTTATGAATCTTTATCTTATTGTTCCTCTCTTTTCGTGATCAATAAGCCTCTCCTACAAATACTACGAATAATTCACACTGTATACAACAACCATATAGTAATTATTTTTCATATCTTGGGCATTTTATAAGCGACACAGATTGATTCTAATCATCATGAGGTTGCTGTAAATTGAACAGAAATATTGATTTTTCAATGCAATATTGTTGAAACATTCTTAAAATGTCGTTTTTTTTAGAAAAAGTTTCTTTTTGCGGTAACTAAACTGCTGACCTATTATGTTTTGTATTTATAAGTTTCCTAGTCATCAGTGATCTAATGCTTAAATTGGAAACTAAAAGCGATAGAATACTTAGATGGTTTAAGTGTCAGATTTCAATTACATAAAATGTATAAAATGTGTGACAGATCGCAAGACAAATTTCTCACAGCGTTGGTTGTAGTAACCTATAAAAATGTTTTATCATTTATCAACAGTGAATTAAAGAGATTAAAAAAAAAATGGTGTTTCTTAGCAAAATTGAACTATGTACTTTTTCAATCTGATAAACGACTCATTTTGTCTGATTCATTTCATACTTGCAACAGAAGGCTTCTTAGAGTACTACGTAGTGTATGACAACATTGGCTTGTTAGTACAGAACAGCAGACAACCAATGTCGTGCGATAGAAGTCACATAAGAATCATCTGTAACGTGTCAAGCAAAAAAATTTCAAGAAGAGAGCAACCGAAAAAATTATTAATTAAGTAGAGCAGCAATTTCAAAGTATTGGCTAAGTCCTAATGATTAATACAACCAAATAAAACAATTCCTATAACACTGTTCTTATCTTTCATCTGTTGTCTATTACTGTGTGAAAAGCTACATGAATAGCTGCTGAATAGGTGCGCTGCAGAGGTACTGAAGCTGACGCAGGGCTTTTAGAGTGAGAAATACATGTGTTGAAAAAATGTCAATCTTCCCAAACTTCATTATCATCAACAAAGTTCATTATCACTGCAAATGTAACTAGAAAGTGATCTTTTACGACAGCATTTATTGTCCCAAACAACTCCCTGTATTTGTCAAGCATATGACATAATTATAACCAAGAGAATCGTGTCCTTGCGAAGCACTTCTTTTATAGCTGTAAAAAAGTTGCGTTTTTTTTACAAAGAATTCAATCTTAATTTTTTATACTCAACTCTTGATTTTTAAAAAAACATTTATTAAAAAAAATTTTTTTTTCGTTTTAAAGCTGTTTATAACCTACTATTTTCTGATCTCCAAGTTTTATATAATCATTATTTTTTGTATTTTGTAACCAACAACTGTTAAATATATAAAACAGTTCTACTCTTTTTTTTGAATATTTAAAATCGTTTTGTTTTTTCTAATCTCAGCATTATAACAGATACATCAGGCGTTACAGCTGTCATTTTTTACAGTTCTAACCAACATTCGCCATAAACTAGTATACTTCGTCAATTATTAACGCTGCTTAAAAGCAGTATTTTCAATATATTTGGCTACACCTATAACAGTTCGCAGATTGCAAGACGTAATTTAGTACTTTCAGATAGGTGACTAAAAAGAGTAACTGATTTATTCCTCATTTGTTTGCAAACCCATCTTAATTACTGATCTTTGCGAAAAAAGCTTTTCCTTCAAAATCTTTTTTTTTTTTTTTTTTTTTGCTGTTAACAAGTCAATCTTTTCCTTTGAATAAAGCAATTAAATGTCCACATTATTTGAAAATCAGTCTTTTTTATCTTTTTTACACTTAACCATAAAAAATTCAACTTAAAACAGTAAACACGCTTTGTTGCAAGTCATTAGTAATTTTTGTTGGCCTTCAACTTAAGCATTTCTTCGAAATGCCAGTAAATTTTAATTGAAATACAGTATTTTAATGGTTTCAAATTACAGAGTTCTGAAACGTCAAAATGCTGAGCACAGCAGACAGAAAAATAAAATGAAAAAACTAGTAAAATATAAAAATAATTAAGATTTTTGTCAACAATTATGAAAAAAAATCATTTAATTAAAAAAGTTTCACAACAGTCAAATAGATATTTGGCTAAAAAGTAAATGCAAAACAGAAGAGCATTTAATGTGCCGATTTTGTTAACTCGTGCTGCCGATGTTGGTGAAGTCGGTGATGATGAGGCAATGCTTGAGGAACGGACGGTGGTTGCAGAAACTGGAGCTGTTGATTTAGTTGGGGCAGTTGTGTTTGTCGTCAGCACTGAAATGTACGCGATTTTTTGCTGGTCAATTGTAAAAAACGCATAGAAAAACTAAAATTAAAACAATAAAAGTAAAAACCTGTACAACTGCATACAAAACTTAGGACCACAAAGCGATTGTCAATATGCAGATGCACGCAAAAAAAAAAAGCAAACAAGTTTAAATCATAAGTTTATAAACACTTGAGTTTTGTTCAGAATTTCAAAAAACTTTTAAATTACTACTCACAAATGAAGGCACGTGCCGCAAAACTCAAAAGCCTCAAACACTTCGTGCACTGCAGATGAGCCTTAACTTATATCACTAAAGCGCAAAACCTGCTCATCTTAATTCTAAAAAACTGTTTTTCCTCAGCACTTAACACTGTTCCACAAAAACTACTTAACGTAGCAGTGCACTCATTACTTTGGAAGTGAGGAGTGTAACCCTGCGCGGAATCGTCTGCTGAACCAGCTACATGCAGCATGTAGTAACCCTTGGAGGAAAACCAGTGCAGTCCCTTCTCTTCAGTAAATGTCGTCATCCACATGGTCTCATCATTGTAAGTAAAGTTTTTGAAGAAAACAGGTCCTATCATTTCACCGTTGTGTTTTGACGTATTTCGAATAGTTTCATCTCCAAAAACCTACATCAAAGCACCTTGTGAAAGAAATTGTTCCAGAACTGAAGCACATTTAAAACGAGTTATTATATAATATCGAAAGCTACTAATCAAAACAGTTCCGCAGACACAAGAAATTTTCTTTTTAAAGTTACCGACACGTCATCGTAGTCATTAAAGAGCACATAACCGGTTGTTCCTGTAATGTACTCAGAACGCGATGGCAGATTATCTAAAAATCCTCCTTCTTCTTTCCATTCTTTAGTAGTGCCGCATCCACCGTATCGAATTACGCGTATAGGTACACTAGAAGTAAGCGAAAATAAGTTTGAAAAAACTGTCTTCACCTTTAATTTGTAATTAGAAAATTT